ATGAGACATAGGTAAATAGCTAAATCAATATTCAAAGTGTATTCAGTGTAAATCATTATTACTATTTGATTTACCATTAACGAGATCATTTTGTGGTTAATAAACATTATGGGATTAAAGAGATAGCAGGAAGTATGGATAATTAATATAAAGGATATGTTGGATGGATTGGCAATGGAATGTATGTTTGTATGAGTATGGATTAGAACAAGCATAATTCTTTAGATATTTGTGAATGAGGAGTTATGTTTATTAGGTCCCCCCCTATAGAAGGAAGGTGGAGATTTTCAGAAAAATTACTGGTCAAAGCTGCCACTGTACTTAAAACTGGACTGGACTTTGTAAAATAGGAGAAGATGGATACCAACATCAACAGATGGTTATGGGAATCAGATTTTGGGACCACATTAAGTAAAGATTAATGGGAAACAATTTTATGCAAAAAAGATAAGTTTCTCAACTATATCTCATGAAATACAATTTGCGATCATCCGTAAATTGGATGTTACCTGATTGTTCTATAATTTGTCCAAAATGTAATATTGGCAAAGCTACATATTTCCATGCTTTCTGGGAATGACCAAATATTGTGGAGTACTGGAAAAACCAAGGCATCTGTATTTTAGATTAGGATGATCCAGCAAAGCATGCTGTCATGTATAAATATAATTAAGAATGTTTTGGTATCCTGTAAGGTTATGTATTCTTCAAAGGTGGATTGATGATAATATATAAAACTCAAAACAGATTGGACCATTGTATATGATCATAACTAAATTAAACAAGCATGGTGTACATATATGAATTCTATTTTTACAGTAACCCCTTTTATTGAATGGGCAGAAGTGTATGCTTGATTACGTAATACTACTAATAATAAAATATTGAACAAGAAATAAAAAAGGGAAAAGGAAACTATTACTGTTATTACTGATATTCTGACCTTTTTCAGCGGCTTCAGGAGAACAACCCCGCAGCCCTCCCCTCTACCGTAACCATCTGCTCTGTTGGAGAAAGGTTTGCTGGTCCCTTCAGGTGAAATCATCTTGGCTTTGCTGAGAGCAACAAAAACTCTTGGCTCTATTATACAGTTGACTCCTCCACAAACAGCCATGTCACAATCGCCTGATAAAAACACAGTTCATAATCTCACACAATAGTATTTTTCTAAACATGCATCCTTATAATTAAAACCACAATTATTCACAACTATTCACTGTAATTAGTCATACTGTACAGACCTTGTTTAATGGACTGACAGGCAAGATGAAGAGCCACAAGAGATGATGAGCAGGCACAGTCTATGGACAGTGAGGGCCCAGTGAAGTTGAAGATGTAGGAGACTCTGTTTGCTGCAATACTCATGGCAAGCCCTGTACCAGTCCAGTGGTTGATCACACTTGGGTGCACGTGTGCAGCATTTGTCTCATAATCTCTGTTCATCAGACCTATGATAAAAGTAATAAAACTGGTAGGACCAGTATGCGTATGCTGGGAGCTACTGCAGAAAGATTATTCATAGTCAGATAATTCAGAACAGTAGCAAAAATCTGATGGGAATTTAAATTGTAAATTGGAATTTGATCCAGCAGAAAGAAATTGCATTTCAGTCAACATAGAGCCATTATTCCTAATATTACACAAAACTATAATGACAGACAAAACATTTTTACTGACCAAAAAACACCCCAGTCCTCGTCCCACTGGCCTTCTCCATAGGAATTCCAGCATTCTCTAAAGCCCTGTAGACACACTGAAGGAGCTGTTTTTGTTGAGGGTCCATTTGTTCCACTTCACTGTCACTGATGCCGAAAAACTTATGGTCAAATTCATTGAACCTGGAAACATTCAAAATCATTACATCAAATTTAATGACTTAAACATCGATCATAATTTAATATTCTAATTGCTTTAAAAGCTTTAATTGCCTAAAGTGAAATTACTTAACCTTGTGATGACCATAGTAAAAACAGCAGTGTTATTTAATCGGATGCTGGTTAAGTGCAGGCAATGAAATTAAAAAAAAAATTAATAAGGGGCTTTGCACACATAACTTGGTTTGGTAAGTAAAGTTTTAAGTTGGGCCTGCCTCTGCTTCATTCACGAGTTACACAGTTTTTCTGTGTTCTCCCATATTTATCATTGTCTGTTTCAACAATCCTATCTATATTTCTTTTTCACAGAGAGACACACTATAAAGACTTTTGGAGAATGTCCCAAAAAGGTTCAAATGTCTCAATAACCCAGTTTAAAGAGAACAATCTAAAAGTTCGGTGCTACAAAGAAATGGACACACGGACCTGTTTTCAATTACCCATTAAAAAAAAAGATGGACAAAAGCTAAAAAACGAAATAATATAGAGATATAAGAAAAGTCTATCTACACATATTTACACAATACATAGGCCTGTCTACATAGGTTATATAATAAGGTTTAAAGACCATACCCATCAATGAGAGCAGCCTTGGCCGTGCGGGATTTACCCAGTTTGTTGTCATCAGGGTCATACCAGCTGGCTAAGTCAAATCTCTCTTTGGGAATTGGCACAGAGCAGTTTCTTCCATCCACCAGAACCTTCCAGAAATTGTCAAGCCCTTCTCCTGTTTGGAAGTTTATATAAATATATATATAGTACTTAAAAGCTCAATTATGGTACTATAAATTGTAGCAGGTAGATGAGGAGATAAACGTCCACTGTTTGTATTACGCATTTTATAATTACATACAATTCTCCTGATTAGTAAATTAAAACAATCAATGGTGAAAAAGGTAGAACTCGTTTTATGAAATTATCTACATAATTTGGCAACAGCTATTTAGTATGAACTAACAACCTTCTTTTTAGAATTAATTAATTTTACTAACCCCAATGGAGGTTGTGTGTCTCCAGTGAGCACATTTTAATCTGTTGATTTACTCATGTTGGAATTTTTTTTTTTTTTTTTTTTTTGTAGTTTTAGTTTTTCAATTTTCTTGCAGTTAGATTCAGAGATATTATCCACTTATCTTAATGCACATTGTGAGAGATAGAGAGAAATCTTTAAATGCCAAATTTGCCAATAAATTATTAAGAAACAAAAAACCCAAACAAACCAAACCTAAGTTCCCAGATTCAAATTGCTTACCCCCTGGGAAATTGCATCCAATGCCTACCACTGCAATACCGTCTTCAGCTTCTTCCATTCTGACTGAACATCACTGAGAAAGAAAAATCAAAAATCTTTACTGCATCATGTCAACATCTTTCTGTCCTTCAGGCAACATCCCATGCAGAAATAAATGTGTTTAGCATTCTTTAAAACTGTAATTAGTCCAGCTATTTCATGCACCAGTGCATCCTTACATCCATACCGTTTGCCTTTTCCCTCAGTGATGGTATCACTGCCAGACTTGCGGTTGATTCTTATAGCCAGCTTCTTTTCTTTATTAAACATTAATGATTAATTGTATGCGTGGCCATGGAGATGAAGGACTTCAGTGCACACCATTTATGTGGCCTTGCAAATGATTAGACCAAGTTTAATGAGTAAATCAATATGTCATCAACAATGGGGTGACTCTAGGTCTTGTTCCACTGAAGGTTACCCCCTAACTAACAATCAACCGGTCAATCAAGGAAACCAAGTTTAAAATGTTTCTATAGGTAACATTTTCAAATTAAACCTCACAACTATCTAACATTAATCTAAGAATAATAATTTACCACATTTTACACAAAGTAACTGTTAAGAAATAGTAAAGTATTTATGAGTCAACAATGTTATCAATACTCCAATGCATTATATAACACATACAACACATGTTAAGTATGAGTGTAATTTTCCTTCCATTAGCGTTATGTTTCGATTAGATACGTTAAGATCAAAGCAGCAGAAAAAACCTTTTCTGATGTGTTTACGACGTCCAGTAGACTCTCTGCTTATTTTCCTATACATTATATATAATGTAAATAACATCAATAACAATGATTGCAAACTCACCTTTGGACATATTATGCAACTAATCATTACTCCAAATATCATAGAAACAAACAAAGACCATTTGTACAGAGAAGATCTTTTTCTACTGCAGCATGAGTTTTTCTTAGCTATTTAAGTCAAATTAATGATTTCACTTAAACCAACCGAAACAGCCTCATATTCTATGATGTTATTAAGTTTTCCATTTGATCATTTGCTTGATAAATGGAGATTTATAAAAGGCTTCATAAAGCAGAAAACACCTGCTTATCTTTGTTTTATTGCGCTGCGGTCACAGGGAGATCATACAGTGGCATTAAGTTATTAACTGTACTTGACTTTATTACTGTATATCAGAAAGGTCACAGAGGTAAGATGAGGGCGAAAGTGTTGCTAGTAATAAAATAAATCATCAGGATCAGAAAGCAACTTCAGGCAGTTACTACAACAGCACCTTTACATTGATTCTCAGATGGTGCCAAATGGGCTCCTAAGGCTTTTATGTAGCAACCCATAATATCAAAAGTTACATCACATTTTAGTTGAGAGACGCTGCAGTATTTTATACTGAATTAAATGCAGGGAGAACATCTTTTGATGGGCCTGTGCCAAAAACCGTCATAATTGTTTCCAAAATGACTGAGTAGTTGCTTCAACATTAATTTTAAGGCACAGAATGAATCCACAAAACGATAATCAATCAAGTATTATATTTTACATTAGTAAGACCTTTATTGTCCAACATATACTCTGTGATACAATTCTCTTTGCTTAGGTGACACAATTTCACAGTTAAGATAAGAAACTCAGCTAATGACAGCAGATATTGAACCAAAATAGTGTAGAAGAGATGCAGCAGGATATCACAATGAAAATTCCAGAAATGTTAATATTGCTTTGTCATGTTGTGGTGCAGACTGTTCACTCTTTCCAGTGTAAATAAGTATGTAGTTGGATATTTTTTTTTACCAAGAGAAAATCTTTGTATCTAAGTAATTGAGATATCAAGATTGTGCAATTAGGGCCAAAAACAAAAAGGATGGAGTGTAACGCTTCTGTTTAATGTTAGAAAATACAGAAAAACGTTTGAAACATACAACATGTACACAACCCCACAGTCTGACATTTTATTTTATAATTATTAAAGTATTAAAGATTGTAATAATTTCTATAAATCATAATTGTTACACAATTATTTTTTTTTTCTTAATTAGAAACATCGCCATTTTGTGCAAATACTGTATTATAGATTGTAACAAGAACAAAAAATATGTAACTGTAAAAAAACACATTCCTAAGACAATGTTTTGAACATTATTTCTTGGCAGGCGGTATTAATGACATGAGATATATTGCACCAGTTAGTACAGAAACAGAATGTGAACTGAAGGATTTCCTCATTCCCATGTTATCGACAGCAGCTGACAGCTCAGCTCCCACAACTTCTGCGCCACGTTGTCGTCTTTGCCCGCCGCTGAGCATTCTGCAGGAGCACAGTCGCTGCAAGACACATTAGAGGAGTTACTTAAAGTGGATCGCTTTCATACATCGAGTCTGGTCTTTGCATGATCCGAAGCAGGGTCAGCCCATCAGTCGATTTCTACGCCATTTTTTTTTTAATTTCATGTGATAAACTGATCTTTGGTCAAATCTTATTAGCAAATAATATGTCTTCTTGTAATTTGTATGCTAGGTAGCTAAATGCCATGTAGCAGTTACTTCAGTGCACAGATAGACAACTCTAACTAGACATTACTAGCCGTGAGAGTGTGTGGCTAGTGTTGTTTTCACTTGGTGGTGATGGTAGTTCCCGCTATAGTAGCAGTTTTGAATACTTTGCCAAGTGTTAATATGTCTTTGGACACATTTTGTGTGCTACAATAGCATCACAACCATGCAAGATGTGTAGTTGAGATCAAAATGAGTTTGAAGATGGGTGTGGTCTGACCCATGAGTACTGTACTTAAGTAATAGTAGTAGTAATGACAGCTAAGTATTAATGGGTATGTTAAGATGTTCTCGCAAGATGGTCTCAAGTGTTAGACTGAGTTAATGAAAGTATCCCTCTTCAACCAGTTTGGTTGCTATGTTATATATTAGGCCATTGGTTCCAAACCTGATGTTGGGAACAGGATTAACACAAAATATGTCTGATTTCAAGATTCTAAACATTATTCAAAGAAATCAATGTCAAACACAGCTGAATGTTTTCAGCCATTATCTTGTTACCCCCAATTATCTTCTTGAACTCCCCAATGGAATCAGATGTTATTTATTGTAAATGTATGATGGGTTTCATTATACCGTCTTTGTGTTTAGTGTACCTGTAGTATCCACCGCTCTCTTTCTCCAGTGAAGGTTCCACTGCGCAGTAAATGGATGTCTGAGCTCCCTGGGCAGAGCTTTTGGTGAAAGGACTGACCATCTTCATGACAGCCTGTTGAAGGCCATTCAGATGACGCCATAAATCTGTCTGGACGACTCCAGGGTGAAGAGAATATGTTGTCACACCTGTGCCTGAAACAGAAGTCAACACGATTACTGTACAACATTAATAAAATGGTATGAAATAATTAAAAAAACATACTTTTCCACCTTGACGATTGCGTGTTCTCTTAAAATGGCTAATAAAAAGAAAGTATAATGCACACCTTCTAGCCTCTTAGCCAATGAGCGGGTGAAGAGGATGTTGGCTAGTTTGCTCTGAGAGTAGGCTGCCTTCTTGTCGTAACTTTTCTCGCTGTTGATGTCCTCCAGGTTGATGGAGCCCCAGGAATGAGCCATGGAAGACACATTGATAATCCTGGCTGGTGCTGATCTCTTAATCAGGTCAATCAACAAATGTGTCAGCAGGAAGTGACCTGGAGAACAAGTAAATTACTTTTTATGTTCAAAGTCAGATAAACAGAACAGAAACAGAAAGATGGTAATATTACAATATATTATTTATAATGTAAATTAGTGCTCCCCAGTGACCGGCCAGTGCTCTTCTGTCACTGTATGTGGACACACGGCCTTATGTATGTGGCCCCTCGCAATTTTAATAGCCTCCTCTGTGACTTCATCTTGGCAAGGTTGTGTGCATGTACCAAACCTACACTCTTGTTGCAGAGAAATAGCTTGGTGATGGTAATAGGTGGGCCAGATTGACAACAAATTGGTCGGGATAATGGGATGTGAAACATGCTGGAAACCTTTACTGTGGTATTAACACTGGATTTCTTTGACTAAAAAAAACATACGAACTGGACAGCTACAAAATAAAGAAAGCATCATATTGGATTTTTGTTGCTATGCTTATGTCCAATTGGATCTCATTAGATGTTATAATTTCAACCTTTTCTTACCTATATTAACCTGGGTGTCCAGGTTGTCTTTGTGTTGGATTTTGAGTGATTTACAGACAAGGAGGTTATTAGAAGTATTAAAACTCGACAACCTTGTAACCTTGGCAGGGACAAATGTTCTGATGGCAGGACGATAAATGGTTCTCTTTATCTCTCATATTTGCCTTATCAGACAATAGCACAGCAAGCTCTAATACACCAATCAATATTTAACAGCGAATGGATATCACTGTTAAACAGTAAAGCATAATAGAGGGCTGTATACAAGTTAGTGTGAAAGGATTACAAGTAAAAAAAAAAGTGATCTTTGTCCCATGTCTATGCATGTATTACTTGTTATAATTTAATAAAGTTAGTCCAAAAATCAGTGGTTTTACCATTTCCAAAGTAACCCATGGCAAAAGCGGAGTACTGTTACATTCAAGATACAATATTAGATCTAGTGAGAACACAAGTTGGCAGCTGCAGGGAGAAGAAAATGTGTACGACTGCCTCCAAGTGGACATTGCATGTAGGTGTGGGAATAGTTTTGAATGCCCCGATACCTCCCAGCAAACATTGGAGCTACAGTAATTCACTGATGTTGGCAGTCCAACATGCCAGAAAATCTAAATAGTTCTAAATAGTTCTAGTTTGTTCTGCTTACAAAAAGAGCCAAGTTCATTTAAACCAGATATAAATATATTTTTTACAAACAGGATATCGTATTACTTATAATTAAGGTGTCAAATATTAAGAAATCGGTAAAAACAAGGCACCACTTCAGTCACACTCTAGGTGATGTATTAGGTGTCCATCACTAATCAGGTAAGAGACTACATAGTTTTATTTACCCATGTGATTGACACCGATCTGCATCTCAAAGCCATCTGCTGTTTTCCCATAAGGACAAACCATTACACCAGCATTGTTGATGAGGATGTTGAGTTTGGGCTCTGCTGCAGAAAAAAAAAGTAAAATAGTGTGTTTAAAGTCCCTTCATGTGTACAGTTTTCCAAAGGAACACAGTGGTTGAACATACCTTTGTTGATGGCTTCAGCGAATTCTCTAATGGACTTGCTATCTGACAAGTCAAGTTTCATGCAGACAATGTTTTCGTTGCCCGAGCTTTCAACGACTTCTTTCACAGCGGCCTGTGCTCTCTCCATGTCCCGGCACGCCATGATGACCTTTGCCCCTAAAACAGAAAAATAAACCACGGTTTAATACAACCGCATAAGCAATGTCTGTTTAAACACGCTGGTTTTGTGTATACACTCACAGACACACACCAAAACATGCACGCAATATGGGCGAAGAGCACCCCCTTACGGCAAAATGTGCATGTGATGTGTTTTGAATTTCATTAAAGGGGAATTTAGAGAGAAAGTTTCAACTTGGACAAAAGAAAATGGCGTCAATATTTTTTATATCAGCCCATTTGTTCGGTTTTTAACAAGATTTAGCATAAAATGCAGAGTTTAAAACTCCACTTTGTGTATGTTTATACATTTATGTCTGTCTTTATATGGCACTTTGGGGCAAAACCTGTTTGCTTGCTCAAAGTTCTATATAAATTATATAAACTGAAACTAAAATAGGCTAATACGTAGTTACTTGTTACCCCTGCATGCCCATATATAAAACATATTAAGCTTCACAGATAATTGACTAGAAAATAAGGAAGAAGCGACAGGAATTGCATGTTGTAACTTGTAATGAGAGCCGAGCATCGAACTCCAACAGTCTGAGTACAGACCGAAATGTGTAACATGGAGTATGAAAAGCTGTCAAGTACCCACCGTTTGCACAGAATGTTTAAAATCATACTAATACTAATTACATACTAATTTATTCTTAACTTGCTCATGATTTTGTTCCAAGATGCTTATCAGATCTCCTGATTCTCCAGTTCGCTCGTGAACTCTGTAAAGCACTTTTGGGAAGCCTTAAGATATGAAATGTGCTATATAAATACATTTGCCTTGCCTATTCTTTAATTGGATATTTCATCACTTAAATAATACTTTTGTCAATTTTAGACTGTGTGTTATTTAGTCACACTTCTTGTATTGTATGGAATATTTAAGATAAAATATTAACTGAATAAATTACAGCCATTCTGGAGAGAGGAAGTGTACACGACCACTGCATACCATTTGTAAAGCGTCATCTATTGCTTTATCTTTTATACACACAACCTTACTTCCTGTGCCCAGCCCAATTTGGAGCTGGAAAAATGACACCATGTCACCATGACGAAGCAGAAAAATGACATAAATGAATTAATAAAAAAAGAAGAAATGCAGTGTTTTTTTTTTTTTTTGGAAGTGAGGATGAGTGAACTTCAGGAGTATTCAGGACAGATAATTGCAGACCCCAACCTCTCTTGGCCAGGTCGATGGCTGTCTCTTTGCCAATGCCAGTGTTAGCACCAGTGATCACCACAGTTTTGTCATCCAGTCTCTCAGCAGAGGACCAGGAAGTCCGCCCGAAGAAATTTCTGGGATGTTGAGAAATCACTTCAGTTACACATCTGACTCAACATTTGTGTAACATGAACAGTGACAAAGCAAACATACAAAAAAACAAACAAATACCAACTGGTTTGTCTCAGTTTGTCTCAACTAAGGCAAAGAAAGCACACTTTTATTAAGTATTATGTAGCGTTGAACTTGGTAATGAAGTTATCTAGAATAAGGGTTCTGAAAAATGAGACTTGAGCACAAATAAAACTACAAACAGAAGTTTTTAAGACAGTTTTTAAGACAGTATTTTCATGAATTCAGTCCTCACCTTATAGCCTGCATCTCACTTTTCGACAGCAGACTAGTGGTTGTCTGTAATTAGACCTTTAAACCTGTAAATAACTCTTTAATCTCACAATAAACAGCGCCAAGCTCCGTAAAACATAAAACGCAGCGGTGGGTTGAAAACTGGCGATGCGGAAGTGTCACTGAGTAGTAATGTTTGATTGGCCGGGATTTCAGCCAATCGGGTGCGACTCTATCGCTCTCAGGCAACACTGATTGGTCAGACTTCATGTATGGGCTAATAATACTAATACTAGTAATAATACTAATACTAATAATAATACTTCTACTACTACTACTACTACTACTACTACTAATAATAATAATAATACTTCTTCTACTATTACTACTACTAATA